AAGGTTCTTCGTGCTTGCTGGATGCTCTGGTGCATCCTTGGGGGGGGGGGGTACCCTCGAGTACTCTTCATTGTGGTCGGCGGCGGGCCTCAGGTTCTGAAGGGATGTCCGTCCTTCTGGCCTCGGTCCGACTGTAGACCGATTCCGGGACCCTTCTCGTGCGTTCGCCCTCGTGAGCCTCCTGGGGTGACCCTCGGTCGCTGCGGCCAGGTCGGCAACGGGGGCCTGGTCTGAACGCGCCCTAGAACAGGTCGGCAGAGTAGCGGCACCGGCGTGTCAGGGGGAAGTAACTGACGATGACGATTAATAAATGACCCCGGGTCGTGTTCACGCGGCGGCGCCGGGGATGACGATTAGAAAAAGTCGGCCGCGGGCTGGAAAACTATTTTTTTGAATCGTTCTCCTCCAGTCAGAAAATTGTGCAGAAATAGCAGAAAATTATGTGTGTAATCGTTCCCTCCCATCTTTTTTATTAATCGTCATCCCGCATTAAGAGAGTCAAGCCTTCTCATGAGGCCTCGGGGTTTCTCCGAGCCCGTTTCTGGCCTCCTGAGAGGCCCTCCTGCGGATTCGGAGAGGGCCGAGACTCCTTCTCAGAGGGCCCGAGGCATCTTGAAGGCCCGCCCCCATCTGCCTTCCCTGTGCGCTCCGCCGTGCCCTGTCCCCCCAAGTCGGGGATTGCTAAAGGTTCGGGAGTGGACAGACATCCTACCCTGTCACGTCGATTAAGGAATTGGCCGTTTTCGGTTCGCGAGAGGGCGTCGCGGCCGTCATTTTGGCGGGTCCAGGTCCGTCGGTTTCGGTCCCAGGCCGTTTTCATTAAGGGGAGGTTTTTTAAAGGGAGGTTTGTCCACCGCCAAAAGGTGCCCCTGGCCCAAAATGCCCCCAGCTTTTCGCTCCATTCTGGAGCCCTGGGGCCCTCTGGGCCTCGTGAGGGGTGCTCTGGAGGCCGTGGGGGCCTCCTGGGAAATCCTGGGGGCACCTTGGACCAGGGGCACTTCTAGCAGCACCCGGCCACGAGGAGACGTCTCCCAAGCTCGTGGGGCCGACGGCGGTCCCCTGGCAGGCTGCAGCGAGGCCTTCCCGGGCATGCGCGTGGCTCGGAGCCACCCCCCAGGTGCCCCGGCAGGGTGGCGGAGCGGGGAGGCGGAGCGCTTGCGTGTCCAGCCACCCAGTTCTGCTGGGGCTGGCCGCGAAGCTGACCTGCAGCGACACTCGCGCGGACAAAGTAAGGGGCGGCGGCCTGTTTCTCTGAAAGATCTTCTGCCTGGCTGTTTCTGATATCATGGGCTGATTCGTAGGCCTCCTAGACAGGGTCGGAGTAGATGGGTCGCAAGGTCGCGGCGCACCGCCGATGCATCGCCGATGCGGCTCGATGTGGAGCCCGACTTGCTTCACGTCGACGTCGCCGATGCATCGCCGATGTCGCCGATGCATCGTCGGTGCATCTCCGATGCATCGGCGATGCATTGGCGATGCGGCGGGATCCTCCGACCCTAGCCACTCAGACCCCATCCAGGAGGCCTCTGTTTGCCGGGGTGTGTCTGATATCATTAGCCGCGAGGGCGCGGCAGCCTCGAAGGCGTGCAAGCCAGAAGGCACGGCGTACCAAGATCCATGGCTGCTCGCGGCGCCGTTGGAACTCAAGTACTCGGCGCGTTGATGAGGTGAGTGTGTTGGTTCTGCCGGTGACTCTAAGCCATGTTGCGCAGGTGACTGGCCCTTCCATATGCGACGTGGCCATCGCTGCGACAGTGCAGAATCTGACGCAGTTTTCTTTCTTTTTCCGCCCAAAGCGGCCACGCGTGCACCACAGCATCGTCCCAGCATGCCCGGAGGAGAAAGCGACCATCCGCGTTCCTGGTGCCACTCCTGGGTGCACGCGGCCCCTGGCAAGGGAGCGAGCCGGGACGGCAGGGCTCCGGGCCAGGAGGAGCACGCCGGCACAGAATCGACGCGGGCGGTGCCAGCAGGTGGGGCTCGGCGGCCCGTCGGTGCCACTGGCTGGCCCTGATCGCGGATGCCCTTCTCTGCCGGAGGCACATGTGCGCGATGCAATGTGGTGAGGTGCCACGCGCTGCAAAGCAAGCAGAGTATAGCTTAGAGATGTGCAGCAGAAATCCGCCTTGAAGTTCATGTCTTGGGAGCATTGGGTTGCCAGCGTAGCATAGCACTGCATGGGATGGCGCAGCCCGGCATGACACGACGACGCATTACATACATTTCATGGAGTAGCATTGTGCTGACATTCATTGCATAACAAAGCATGACACAGTATGGCATTGCATCGCTAAGCACGGCAAGCCGTTGCGCGCTACACCTCAATCACAGCACGGCATTGCATGCTACGGCGACGCAAGTCAAACCATACCATGCCGTAGCACAGCGTCGCATAGCATTGCACGGCACCGTTGCGCATATGATTTCATAGCACGCCACGGCACGTGCCATGGTAAGATTCCGCTGCACTGGTACAGCCCATCATAAGTTTGCAGTGACCTTGTAATTTGTCATCGCGCATGGTCATGGTCTGTGCCACCATCGCACTGCGTATCAGAGCGCAACGACAAGCAACATCAGCACGGCAAACACAAAACAGCGCAGCACAACACGGCCTGGCACTGCTGGGCGGCACAACACAGCGCAGCACAACACAGCACAACATCAGCACGGCAAAGCACAACACGGTGTCGCGGGCAGGCTGCTGACCAGCAGCAGCCCGACCGTGCTCCCGTCACAGAAGCAGTGAACTCGATGTTATCTTTCGGTGCCCTCCTTGGGGCCACCTAAAGGATCTGTTCGACTCTAGTGTGAAAATGGGTTGACTCTAGTTCGACTATATCTTGACTTCCGTTCGACACACGTTCGCTTTGCGTACAACTCAAGTCCACGTATTTTCGACGCAACGTTGACGCATGAGTGGTTCGAGTGGCTTCGGGAAGGTCTCCAGAACGGGCACCTCAAATCCTCGGAGACCCTTGATCGAAAGAGCTGCTGGCTATTGCGATCTATACATGTCCACCACCCCTGGCTGATTAGGCCCATTCTTCAGAGAGGCGAGTTGAGGCAACGGTAGTTGGCCTTCGGGGGACCCCTGGTTACCACGCTTGGACGCAGCTCGGGACGTTACTGGTCTGGACCCCAGGACAAATCGGGGGACCGATTCTGAGTTACCGTTGTCTCAACTCGCCTTGCTCCGAATCTGGGGCCCAGGGGCGGTGTGTGTGTGTGTGCCTCTCTGGCCAAGCCAGGGCGGCGTACATGCCGATCCTGGGCCCAGGATGGAACCCAGCCAGGGATGTGGCTGCGTGCAGATCGTGTCGCCCTGTTGCTTGGATTCTTGCGGCCCCACCCCGATGGGCGCCGATCTCGCGCCGTTCCGGGGCTGCCGCCCCGCTCCTATACGTCCGGGCGGCCCCTTCTGCTGGCCGCCACCGCCACCGCCTGTCTGCTGCCCGGCCCCTTCCGCCCGCTGGGCATCCGGGCCGACGATCTCATTGGGGGGCGCCCGAGCGGCCCCCCGCCCTCCCGAAGATGCGCTGGTGGTGGTTCCGCCTCCCTTCGTTTGCTCACTATAGAGCCTCCGCTTCAGCCCCTGGATGTGGCCGTGATGCCACCCCGCTCCCGCTGCCAGCGTGCTGCAGCACTGGCTGGCCGCACCGGCCGATGCAAAGCGATGCACCTCGCCCTGTGAGTGCCCTCCCTCCCCTTTGCCCCTCCTCCGCGGCCGCCTTCGCCTTCCTCACCCCCACTCTTGCCGCCGGACGGTTCGCGTCTGCCGTTTTCCCGAGCCCGCCCGAGCGCGCGTGCGGACTGCCTCTGCCCCGCTGCGACGTTACAGTGAGCGGCTTGAGTAAGGAACACGTACTTTTCAAAAGGGGCTCGGTCGTTCCTTAGGCTTGCATGCGTTAGTTACAGTTACTTATGCGTTATTTGTTATTTATCGTTCCTTATGCGTGATTCCTTGGGATAAAAAAGGGGCCTCGTTCCTGATTCAGGGTTCCTTCGGTCAGGCCGATGACTGTACAGAGCTCGTAAGACCGGGGCTCGGCCCCCGAAGCGCCCGCGCTCCGCTCGGATCGGCCTCCCCCCAGTCGCTGCACGGGGGCCGCCCGCTGCCCAAGACGTGCTGCGCCGCGCGCTGCCTCGGCGGGGCGCCCCGCGCCCGCGCGTGGCCCTGTGGCCAGGTCGCGCACGCTGCGCGCTCGCTGCCTCGGCCTCCAGGTGGAGCGTGCGCGAGCGCCCGCGTGCTTGCACCGGCCGCCTCGGCCGAAGCTCGGGCGATCGCAAACCTAGATCAGGGGGGCGTGGATCAGCGACGGGTCTCGTTTCCGGGGGAAATCGCGCATTTCCGCCGCCGAGCGAGGCGGCACCGGCCGCGTTCTGGGCAGGGCACCTCCCCCGACCCATGGATTTCTGGCGACAGCGCGCCAGATCCATGGATCGCTGATCCGTGGATTTGGCGCGACCCCGAGAGGCGGGGGTCTACCCACAACCGCCGCCTGGGGGGATCGATCTTCGGGGGCCTCGGCGGGCGGCGGATGGAGTGGAGACCGATGCCAAGAAACACCCTGCTTGCCTCCAGGGTGCCCTGGGCTTCTTGTGTGTTGATGGTCTTGCTATGGGCAGCGTGACGCTCCCGCACCAAAAGTCAGTGGACGTCCTGGGATGGGTTTCTTGTGGAAGGTCTCTTGTGGTCGGGCCCGTACTGTATGGATCTGTTCGGACCCCCTAGGGCCAAAGTGCCTCCATGCCCACCGCCCGCAGGGGCCCCGGGGCGCTGGTCCCACGGACGGTGGATATGCAGCCCCGCCTCACCTCGGCCTCCGCCCCTGGCCCTGGAGAGGACGGCTTCGGCCTGATCGGGGCTGAAGAGGCGGGGGTCAGTGCAAGCGGGGGTCAATCAGAGTGCTGGATCTTGCAGGATCCTGCAGGGCCAGGGTCGCACTGACCCCGGTTTGGGTGCAGGATCCTGCAGGATCTTGCAGGATCATTCGCATTGACCCGGATTTGGGTGCAGGGTTTTGCAGGATCGTGAAGGATCCTGCAGGGCCCGACTGACCCAGGTCTGGATTGACCCGGGTCAGTACATCCCCGACCTGTGCGCGATCGGCACAAGTGCGGTTGGCGTGGTCCGCTTGCCTTCGACCGGCGGGGCAGAAGCGCTTCGGGGCGCGAAAGTTGGAGACGACAGGGAGCCCACCATCAGCTAAGCTGGTGGCTGGCGTCCGTCAGAGCATTAAGCTATGGCAGCCAGTTCTGCTGTGAGTCTGCTGGTGTGTGACGGACGGCAGTGGCAAAAGAGGGTTGGGACGACAGCAGAGCCAGCCATCTTGAGCGGCATTCTTGTCGCTTCGTGCTGGGACGTGGCTCCCTCGCGTGCGAACTGAAATAGGGTCGAGGTCCATTGCCTGGAAACACCGAGCGTTAACACGAAAACTTGGCCGATGCTTGTCTTGAGAAATTCTTTACGCTTCGCGTATCCTCACCAGCCCATCTCACAGCAGCAACTCTTGCGAAGCATGCCGGCAGTCGTGTTTTTCAGGCGTGTGTCCGCTTGGCCCCGCATATCTCCCCTGTTCCTCCTTCCTCCCGCCTCCTTGTACATCCTCCTTGTGGGGGGAGCGGGAGAAGGACGAGGCGGAGGAGGAGGGAGAGAAAGCGCTCCTCGTGATTTGAGTCGTTTGGGGTTTCTCGTCCTGGTGTGAGTCGTTCGGGCCCTTCTTCCTGGTGTGAGTCGTTCGGGCTCTTCGTGGTGTGAGTCGTTCGGGCTCTTCGTCCTGGTGTGAGTCGTTCGGGCTTCTCGTTCGGGCCCCTCATCCTGGTGTGAGTCGTTCGGGCCCCTCCTCCTGGTGTGACTCGTTCGGGCTCCTCGTGGTGTGAGTCGTTCGGGGCCCGCGTCGTGGTGTGAGTCGTTCGGGCTCCTCGTGGTGTGAGTCGTTCGGGCGCCTCGTCCTGGTGTGAGTCGTTCGGGCCCCTCCTTGTGGTGTGAGTCGTTCGGGCTCTTCGTGGTGTGAGTCGTTCGGGCCCCTCGTCCTGGTGTGAGTCGTTCGGGCTCCTCGTGGGGCCTCTTGGGGGCCTCTTGGAGCCTCTTGGGGCCTCTTGGGGGCCTCTTGGGGGCCTCTTGGGGGCCTCTTGGGGACCTCTTGGGGCCTCTTGGGGCCTCTTGGGGGCCTCTTGGGGGCCTCTTGGGGGCCTCTTGGGGCCTCTTGGGGGCCTCTTGGGGGCCTCTTGGAGGCCTCTTGGGAGCCTCCTCTTGGGGCCATCTTGGGGCCTCTTGCGACCTCCTCAGAAGCGCAAATGAGCGCTGCCCCCTGAGAAGGACAAAATGAGCCCAAAACCTTCGTAAAATTAATGATTTTGCTATGAAGGTCGAGGAGCGCTGCCCCCTCAGAAGGCCAAAATGGGGCCAAAACCATCGTAAAATCAATGATTTTGGCGTCGAAGAAGAGCAGAGGGGCCAAACTCGGTCCCCCCGTCGGGGCCAGAATCCTCGTGAGGGTCGTCGTTTTTTAGCCCTCCCAGGAGTCGAAATTGACCCCCTTGCCACCACCCGGGAGTCCCTGTCCAGGTCCAGGGGGAGGGGGTAGGGGGAGGGGTAAACCCCTCCCCGAAGGGGAAGAAGGGGGGTTGAGGACAGAGCGGGCTCTCTAAACCACTCACGCCCAAAGGGCTGGTGGGATTTCCGGGAAGCTGGTTCAGATTTCTTACATGCTGATTTGGTTCATCGTTTCTTCGGGTTGCGCTCATGTGTAATCGCCTTCCACGCGCTGGGAGTATTTGGCAAACGGAGGCACGCTCGTTGCTTGCTACAGTCAAGGCGTGGACACCAGGACCACTT